TTATTTGGCTATCCAAAATACTTATTATAAAATTATTAATAATCTAAACTAGCTATAAATTATTTATTAATTAAAGAATGACTCATAATTTTATGAGGTTGTTTGTGAGATATTTTAAGTTCTATATCATAAATAGAGTTTAACCTACTTTTGAGAATGAGAATTATACCAGAATAAATAAATCATATAAAAATGGATTATTGGATTTAATAACTGGTATATTTATGTAAGCCTCAATAAATTTAAAGGAACTATTACATTTATGTTTGAATGCATCCTTAAAGAGCATCACTTTCAAATAATCTCTTAAACAAAATTATTTTTTTTCTTTTGATGAGGATGAATCCACTTTGATGTAAACCGAAGACAAATGATAAATAACCAAATTAAATGCCAAATATATTAGAACTTAAAAAAAACTAAACTTATGATATAAATGGTTATCACAAATTTACTCAATTCATTATCTGAAATGTTTTATGAGAAATCCTCATATGAAATCCAGTTTTTTGTAGAATGAAAAAGATTTACTATAATAAAAAATCTTATTTTCTAAGACTTTCTCTCTAAATTAATCAATCACCAGATTTATTTTTTTAAAGTCCAAGCTATTTCTAACACTAAACAAAATAGATTAAACCATTTTCTTTATAAAACCGAGAAATTAATTGAATAATTATACTAATTTATATTCAATAAATATATTAATATTTTTACTCCCCAAAAATTATGCAAAATTTATTAACTCAATAATCACAGTTTTTTGAGTTGTTAGACAAATAAGTTGATGCATACAAGACACTTCTTGATCAACTCAATACAAGCTAGGATAAATTCAATAATCTTTTGACAGACTATCTGCTAAAATTTCAAAAAATCAATAATAAACTACTTTAATAAGGAAGACCCGAATTTTCTTGCTCATAAATTTAAATTAAACGAAATGACGAATTATTCACAAACTCATAATTAAACATATCCTTCAATCTAAGATCTGTAACTTTATATTTTTTATTATTTTAGTTACTGGAGAAGTAATACAAATATAAATTAACTCTTGCTGACCCTCTTGAAACCCCACTTTATAGAGATCGTATCTTTTAATTAAGAGTAGAGTTAAAAAATAGAAACGGAGAGTTAGTCCGTAACCCTAATAAAATTGAATTGGTTGTTGCTATCTATTCTTAGGAACAATATCCGAAAGAAATTAAAGTCAATAACAAAGGTGAATAAATATTAAAAGGTCATTTAAGTGTTCCTTTAATAAAAGGCACTGCATTCTTTACTAGAGTTTAAATAAGAGAAGTATCTTCACATTATTAAAATGGTGGTATTATTCTTGCAATATTACCACAATTTAAACTAAATGATGAACCAATTAATAGTCGTGATGTTTAGCCTATGATTGTTGAAAACATCAAAGTTAAGGCTAAGAAATTTTCTGAACGTCATATTCCAGTCTATGTTAATTAATGATTCATTAAATGTTTAGTAAAAGGATATTTTAATTATATTTTTATTCTAGTTTCTACATATTTTTTATTCTATATCTAATATTATTTCAATCATATCAACTAAATTTCCATTACTTTTCTAGTTGTGCTTTTTGTCAAAAAAATTATTATTAAGACAACATCATTTAACTTAAAGAAGTAATTATCAATCATGATGATTTAAAACACAAAGTCTTTTTTTGATTCTAGACTTACTTTATATAAATTTATCTAATTCCTTTTATTAATTAATTAAACAAGTTATTATATATCTTATTCTCTTAAAGTTTTACAATTAGCATCCTTATAATTAATAAATTTAGAGCATATTTAAATTCTCTGTTTAAATCTAGTTATTCTTTACAAATTTGGCAATTCTAATGTGTACCATGAATTTTAAAAAAGCTAAGATAAAATCTAAAATGAATAGTAGTAGGCAAATTAATTTAAAATCAAGGGAAATAGCCTAAATAGAGATTTAAGTTATTGATTGATTGGCATTTGAATGATATTTATCTAAAAAGATGGATTCAGTTAAATTTCAAGAAGTTATTGAATATTTTTAATAAAGTAAAATAAATTTATGCTGTTTTATTCTAAGTCAAATAATAAAATATCAAATCATCTTTATTTGATTAAGTATTCAGGAATATATCCTAATTCTGAATCAACTAGATAATGTCCAGGACCTGGAGACTAAAAAAGTTGTTTTTTAATTGGTTCCCTATAATTTTTTTATTTAGTA